GGAAGACGGCTGCGCAAGTGTGCACACCCTCTTGTAACCAGGGATGTGGTTGTGTTGAGAATTGTTCTTTTGGTGATGAGCAGTGTTGTGTTTGTGCCACACAAACAAAATACTTTGGTATTATGGCCAAAATGTTCAACCTTGGTTTAATCGGACCATGCCGCATTTTCCCAAATGCAATGGGGGAGATTTAAAGTGCGTTTTGGCAAAATGCAGCTGTTCAAGTGTTGAGTCCACTTGAGGAGGTCGGTTAGACATTATTGTTAATGTGTCAAATAAAACCTTTTCAAGGAGGATCTGCAGTAAAACCGGCAGCCCTTTACTGCGATACAGCGTTTCTGAAGGACAGTTCTAGATCCTTTAAGCTGTTGTGGCTTGACCTAAAGTCCAGTGGCTTTCCAAAGCCACTCTGGTATGTAGTGCACTTCTCCATTTTGTAACCAGGCTACTATGTGTTGTTTTGATTTGTATGCAATACAATACATCTATATTTGTACAGCGCTTTCACAACAAACAGACAAATGAGAAAGCACTCACTGGTGATAGTGTGAGCGAGGCAATCAAAAAAATTATCAAAAGAGATTTGTGTCAAATTAATCTTTTCACAATGTGACATCCCACTTAATGATTTTGAAAAGAAAAAGACAAGTTTTCCTGAATCGGTATGCAAAAATGAACTCATGAATTTGAAAAGAAACAGAGATAATAAGAACTACTAGAATCAGATTTTATCCACATTTTTTATGGAAGAAGGCTTCTTCAATCAGGAGCTGCAGTTCTCTACCCCGTTTCCTCCACCTCTGGTAAAGTTAATGAGCAATAAATATGTTTTTTTTTTAAAGTGTTTTCATTCTTTATTGTGTGTATGTGTATTTCCAGTTGTTCCTACATTGTATCATATTGATTTTTTTTACCACAAACTGGTAAAAAAAAAAAAAAAAAAAACCTTTCTTTTGGGGCTGCAATGGATTAATTGCATTTCTATTTATTTCAATTGAAAATATTACCTCGATTTATGATCATTTCAAGTTACAAATGAGCTCACGGCACCAATTAAATCCATAACGACAGGTTCCACTGTATAGCGCAAGGGCCCTCTGGGGTCGCTTTCCTGCATGTTTTCCATCTCTCCCGACTGCAACGCACCTAATTCAAATGATCATCTCATCAGTAAGCTCTGCAGGAGCCTGACGACGATTCTGATCATTGAGACCCCTGCTATAGAGTCCCTTATTTGGAGCGGAAATTACTGATGGCCTCTTCCTGATAATTTCTTGTCAGTTCTCAGTCAGCAGTAGAGTGTGTCCGTGTTAAACCACTTTGTTGGTTTTGCTTTTTGCCAACATGTCTGCGCTGAAGTAATCTTCCCCATCATTCACTTTCCATCTACCTCTGCTCTATTCTAACTGTATGCTGGCAAAATAAAAACTGACTAGTTGGTCAAAAGATCAGCCTCCATTCAGTCTTTAATAGATGAGAGGCTGCAAAAGGTGAACCATGACCGCCGAGGTTAGTGATACATTACACGGGGAGAGCTGCCCCAACGAATACCAACCTGCTCTCTCATCTACTTCAATATGCCTGAGTTGCCCTCAATCCCTTTGCACCTGACCTTGCTGCTCCCTTTCGACTATCCACTCCCCTTCTCTGCCATTCACAATCCAGACGGTGAAAATTGCATTTCATTTCACACACACACACGCACGCACGCGCGCGCGCATGCACGCACGCACGCACGCACGCACGCACGCACGCACGCACGCACGCACGCACGCACGCACGCACGCACGCACGCACGCACGCACGCACGCACGCACGCACGCACGCACGCACGCACGCACGCACGCACGCACACACACACACACACACACACACACACACGCACACACACACACACGCACACGCACACGCACTGCCATGTTGGAAGCTTTCTGGATGTTTTTGGTTTGTTTGGTCAGTTTAGGAAAAGGGCATCTGTCGTCACTGACAAAATGTGAGATCTAAAATGAGTCCTCGTACACAGCAGTTACCCAGTTTTCAACTGTCACGTGGCCTCTGGAAGATGTCAGGAGAGAGTCAGATTGTGCATGATGGCATTTGTGTGCATCTCCCTCGCCTCTCTCGCCTTTGTTCCATTCTTCTAATCCAGTATGTGTGGGCCGGTAAGTTTAATGGAAACAATTTATTAAGTCCGGCTTAAAATGCCATCTGCAGTTAAGCCTCCCAAAGCCGCTAAGCTCCTGGTTTCACTCCGGAGCTTGCTGTGTTCACGCTTACTGTAATGCTCTGTTTAAAATGAGCACAACGGGTCAAAATTAATCAGGATTACAAGGGCACAAATCCACTTCAGAGATAAGTTTTCTACCAATCTTTCTTCCTCGCTATCCCAAGATGCCCTCGCTTTTACTGTTGTTCTTACCGTGCGGTATAACCTATGAAACATGTACAATCACACTTACGTGCTAGCAATAACATTATTGCTGATGTTATCCTTTAACGTGAATCTGTTTGCTGCTCATGAATAAATACTTTAACTCTGCTCCTCTTTTAATTTCAAGCGCCAAAGCACATACAAATTCAACACGGTCACAAAAAATGTCTTGCACATTTTTGGCCACTGTAAGGTAGGTGATAACTTCCCATCAGTTCCAGAGGCGCAGCCTTGTGAAATGTTTGGCCTTAAAGTGAAGTGCATATGCGTCTGCTGCAAAGGAGCCCTCATCTTGCTCTCAAGCACATTTAGCTTCTCATTCACCTTGAAGCTGTTGAAAACAGTCAACTCTGACAGGCGATGCAATAAGTATAGCGCTATATGTTATTTTTACTTAAATATACCATCTTCCTGAAATGGATAACATAGCAACCAACATAGCAGAAATGATAAAGAGTAAATACTGTTGGACAGACAGAAGGCGATGATGTCTGGGTTTTCCCCCAAACCAGGATCTGTGAACATCAATACAGTGTTTTACAGCCACTGATTACAATGTTAGTCTTGCGCTCTTCTATTCAACTTGAACTGTCTCATTACCCAAGCAGACTGTTTACTTGTGAACATTTCGTGTTTGCACATACCGCTGGGAACCCAAATAAAGTTCACAAAGGAGTACAACTGTGAGAAGCAAGCAAAGCAGGGTAAATCATTACCTTGGAAACTGTAAGATAAACATCATATCATTAAGAATGCATGTACTCTATGCCGTGTTTGTGTCCATCTGCCCGAGTGTCTACCAACCAGAAGAAAACATGAGTTTCAGTGGACCCACAGGACTGTGTTTAAAGCCAGTAAGGGCAGGGGTCCCCAACCTTTTTTGCCCCACGGACCGGTTTAAGTCAGACAATATTTTCAGGGACCGGCATTTAAGGTGTGGCGGAATTAATACAACAAAATAATATGGTATGAGCTGCATGAAAACTGTGGTGTTTTCGAAATATAATAATAAACACAAGGAGCGTCTAATCTGGTCGCAACACTCTTATCGCTCTGGTAATGTTTAATGCCTTCAAAATACATTACAACGCAAATTCAAAGTGCATGAAAATGACGACTCACCACAGCCCCGAGCTTGATTTTCTGCAATCAGACAGTCCCATCTCGGGGTAATAGGAGACAATGACACCTCAAGTGTGTGGTTTATGTCCAGTCTACTTCGTAATTTTGTTTTAGTCGCTGTTGCTGCATAAACTCCCCACCTCACACAGGTAGGATGTCGGAAATAGCAACAGTGCTATTGTGGCGATCTCAGAGTATTCAGCCATAACTTTGATCCAGTTGTTTCGAACGTACTTTTAAGGCCGCCGTCATTTGCGATCTCCAAGCAGCTTTTTTAATCATTTTGCGGGCTTCAGCGTTTTGTTTAAGATAAGATAAGATAAGATAAGAAAACCTTTATTAGTCTCGCAATGGAGAAATTCCCAATTCACAGCAGCAAAGTTATGAATGGAAGAAGTAGAACAACAAAATATAGGAGCTGCTGGAGTTTATGAGTTTGGTTTCTGGTTTATGAGCGTCATCGGTCACGTGACCGAGAAGTGTGGCTTGACGTGAGTCAAGCGTGACACAGACGGATGTAACAGAGAATCCGGTAAATTTTCAAAATAAAACACATTTCGTATTCCGAAATAAATAAAACGGAAATAAGGCAAGTTCTTTCTGTGCGGCCCGGTACCAAATGCCCTGCGGACCGGTACCGGTCCGCGGACCGGCGGTTGGGGACCCCTGAGTAAGGGGACACATACACGGCATTCTGAACAAGAGGAAAATAGCATACGGCTTGCTCTGTGTAACATGCACATGAAAAACAATTCCAAGGCCAAAAACAAATATGGCCATTTACAGCTAGGAACAATAACATTAGAAGCAGATACTGTCTTGATAGGTTATGAAAATGTGTTCCTTGTCATCAAATGTACTTATCAAACAGCCAGTTACTTTCCAACACCATCCTTTCGGACCATGCAACCATGTTACGTGTGGCCACGCGGCAGAAGTCTGATCCTATCTCTCCTTCCTTGACCTCCCCTCATCTCCAACTTGACAATTTAACAACCCCTCATTCAAACTTGATGCTTGTGAATGATTTTTGTTTGTCTCACGCTGCAACAGCTCAACACATATTGGCAAATACACGCCGACCAAGCGTCTGACAAAGCGCTCTCTCTTTTCCTTTGGCATCCATTATGGCACAGGCCTGCTGTCGGAGAGCTTGTATTGCCTGAGGGGAAGCTCCCATTTGAGGGAGCATGTGGCAGAGAGGCTCTAAATCCCCTCTAATGAACCAATATGTAAGAGGGCTAAGCCTCTGGCAGTGTCAGCAAGGAAACACCACTTCTCACCCTGGCAAAAGACGCACACATTTGCATGTGCTCAGCTCTGTTTATGTCTGCTCGTATTGAAATCTGAATGTTAGCTGCGTGATTCCATAGGGGAGTAGGATTTACATGATTTAGAAAGTGACGTAAACCCTGGAGGGAGAACAGACAAAGAAGTGGCCTCTTACCTTTGGGTGTGGTGGGAGAAAGGAGCTTCTGTGATCCTACGTCAGACACCTGCAAGACAAAGAGGCAGTGCTTTAGCAGATTACTTTATTCAGCTAAATCAGTGGCAAACTTCAGTCAACCCTCTCTTAGATAATTGGGTTATTCATTAAAACCCTAATCTTGAGGTTTATTCAGTCACAAATATGGTTGAAGTGCTCTGAATTTACCAAAGAACACTCCCTGTGTACCTGATGATCCCTGACTTGCTTTTAGTGAAGTAACATTAGGTGGCACTGTTGAGCCACCTGAAAAATAAGTAACACCATCGTCAGAAAGGCGGCTGTGCTGCATCATCTTCGTGGAAATGCAGGAAAATGCTCAAAAATCTTTCTTTCTGCAAACGTGCTAGTCGTCTATCCAGCAGCACACCATTCAAGGATCATGCAATCCAATAGCAAACGCAAAATCCCAGACTTCATCTGATCAGGCAACCTGCTAACATAACTTTACAGTCAGTCAAATGCATGTGGTGTCAAAAATACTGAAATCATCTGACTATGACTTCATAGTGAAAGCGTGAAAGCAATTTTCCTTTCATGACGACAATGCACTGCATCGTTTCATAAAAGGTCCCATGCATCGAAAGTCGATCCGCCGTGCCATTTCAACCAATAGTAGTCAATTTATTTGGCTAAAGTGTTCAACATATTTGTTGGCTTTGTTTTGAATCCACGTTTCCACACTTTTAACTCCTCTCATGAGGGCTGCAGAAATGTAAAAGGCTGCATATGTAAAAGGGAGCATATGGTCCACTCATCAGTTGCAAGTGTCCTCAACTGCTGTGCTTGTATTTTGCATAGTACAAAGGGAACATATGTAATAAATGAACAGTGAATCAGAGTACTAGAGGGACAGACACAGAGAGGGGAAGCAAATAATTTTGTAAACACAGATGGCTGTCCTTGGCATCCCTGTTAGCTTTTCACAAGTGTTTTGAGGGCGTCCTCTTCTCTCCAACAATTCCCGATTTCTCCTACACGGCCAATTGTGTTGCGTTTCTCCACAATGTTTGTCTCTGTATGTGTTTTGTCTCAGCGCTAACCACAAAAGTACCCAAAATAAAGCTGTGTGAAAACAACTCTTTGTTTTGCTCCATCTGATGGGAAACGTTGACAGAGGGCGACCACACAGTTTCTTGTTAAAATTCCTGCCATAATTAGTCAAAAAGCCAAATTTAATGCAAACTTGAAAAGGGAAAACTAAACAAAAGCATGTTTTTTTTTTTCAGTGTCATGCTAACATGGCAACAATGACAACTTAAATGTTCATGGTTTGAGTAGAATCTCCAAAAATTGAGAGTAAATCCCGTTTTTCGCTGCAGTCCAAGACCACGGAGCAGAAAACAATGTCACACATTGCCCACTTTCATTCTTCCGCAACCAGGGTGCCAGGTTACAACATAAGCTCTTTGTTAGCTTTGGACGACATTAAACACTCCAGTGCTGAGCATCAGCACTAAAGTGGCACAACTTCAGCTCTGAATCATGGCCCCAGAGGGCCCTGGCAGGAAAGACATGGGCTCCGATTGGAATGAAGCTTGTCAAACGGACAAATAAGCTGGCTAAGAGACAGGCTAAGTGTGGCGTGTGGTTAGGAAAAAAGAGACAGGGAAAGGAATGCCATAATTGACAAGGGCAGTTGAAACAAGTGTTTTGACTGCAGCGGCTATCTTGGGAGCACGGCAGACATGACAAATAACTGTGAGAAGTTAACCTTACTGTGCGTTGAACTTGCAGTTACTTGTTTTGAATTCAAAATGGATTCTAAACATCATCATCAACCACCACTTTGGCTTTACGACTTTGCTTTGAACCTGCCAGGACGGCATGAGTCACTTGTATGTTTCACAATTACAAGGTCAGCTCTTTAAGTGTTTTTAAAAAAGCATGTCAAAACACTGTCTCATTTTGCCTGCTGCTCATTTTAGAAAACGTTCTTGTATGTCAAGTTGACTTTTTCAACAACCCGATAATTAGAGCGGCTTGCGGTTGTGGTGAACAGGGTTAATGGAGAACAAATTCTTCTCACTGTCTTTGTTGCCATTAAAAACACAGGGGCTTGGGGAAAATGGAAGATTGAGATACGGTATTAACACAAAAAAAAAGAGAGACAAAAATAGCCCAGGTTTTTTTTCTGAGGAAACTTAGTAATTTAACCATTTCAAAACACTAATGGGGAATATTTAAGCCACACTGCCTGGGAGCCAAAAGTCTTTGGAGTTGGCTGCGGGAAGCCTGACCTTTTTGTGGGCCGTCTGCTATTTAAGCCTGGGGCTTCAGGGGTCTGGCCTCCTCTCCAGAGGGCCGTCAGCAGGCTTCAGCTTTCCTTCCCCATTCTATTCATTAGCCGTGCTTTATGATTCAGCTTCCTCTGAGCCACACAAGAGCTCCCTGAGGAAAGAGACTGCTGGAGAGGGGGAGAAAAGGGATCAAGCCCAGGGAAGGGAGCAAAAAAGCAAGAAGGAGGTCATAGGGCCCAGCCGGGGCCCAGCTCTCAGCAGCTGTGCTGTTTCCTCAGCAGGCGTGAAAGGAAAAAAAAAAGGGGGGGCGTGGTCAGCAGCAAGGGAACTGGGCCAGAAAACCCACCATCAGAGTGCTAACGCGTCAAAGTGCCACATGCTAAACTACAATTCCAAGATTTAGGGATTACCATATTCGACTGCTGCCTGTTTCTAAAAATCCCGCAACTTCCTAGAGTACACCTGACTTATTGATGGCATAAATGTCTTGATAATAGCAGAGATGCAGAGGTTAAATTTTACTCGCTGAGAGCATATCTGCTGACAAGAAGCAAGTGGGGGGAAAAAAAAGACTCGCTAACTTGTACTGAATCACGTTGGAGGGTAATCAATTTAGACAATCTGACACATGCCTAATTGCTTTTGGAAGTATTAAACCGTTCCTATGCAGAGTTATTGCACAGAGAGCCGAGTGAGCGAGGCGATGCAGACATTGAGGGAGAGCGGTATAACCACTTGAATGACCTTCACGGCATGAATTTATGAAAAGCATCGATCAGTTAAGCCTGTGATTTCTGCAAGACAGGAAGGTCAGCAATTGCCCAGATTCAATTAACCCCATTTCTGTAAAGACTGCTGATAGACTTATTTCTCTATACCCACCCCCCCCACCCATCAAACTTGATATTGGATGATAGTGCGGATTTCCATCTAACTTGCATGCATTGCATATATCGGAGCTGAGAAAGTCATTGCCAAAAAAGAAGAAATCTGGAAGCCAGGACTAAATAAAACCATGTCTCTTTTGCCCTCCCTCTTGTCAGACCACCATTTTAACAAACAGACTGGCAGAGTTATAGCCACAGCTGGCATGCAAAAACAAAGAACCATGTTTGAAGGTTTTGCCCTTTGCGAATGCCAACAGCAGGGGTCTCTAAGTCCGGTCCTCGGGAGCCCCTATCCAGCTAGTTTAGGTCTCCCTGCTCCAACACAACCGATTTAGATGATCAGGTCATCGGCAAGCTCTGAACAAGCCTGTTAAGGATCTCTCATTTGAATCATATGTGTTGGAGTGAGGCGAAACATCTAAAATGGGCTGGATAGGAGCTCCCGTGGACTAGACTCAGAGACCCCAGGCCGACAGTGACTATATTTACATTTACTCATTTGACAGATGCTTTTGTACTTGATGCCTAGTAGTGTAGCAAGTGGCTAATTTTAACACTTTAATAAAATAAGGTATTTATACTGATTAAGCTCTCACTGTCAAAAAACAACAACAAAAGGGTATACACTGGAAACCTAAAATTTGAAAGCCACCCATGTACTTGGGTTTATCGGTGACATAAACCTTGATTAACTGCACAGACAGTTTTTTAAAACTGTTAACTGTAATACAACTGTAAAAATAGGCTAGCAACTGTTAACATTAAGGTGTAAAGCAGGAGGGCCCACCCAGTGTCAATCGCGGTCAACCAGTAGTCCACAGACTGGTCCTAAGCCGACTGGGTTGTTCAACTTTAGACCTTCCACTTAATTTCAAGGAAAAGACACAGGCGAATCAACTACAAATTGCACTTGTGCACTTGCAAAGACACACACACAAACACAAACACACACACACACACACACACACACACACACACACACACACGCGCATAAAATCTTGCAACTCAATCAATCACATGATTTCAAAATGCTTTTCTAGAATGCCTGTTAAACACTGTACAGTGTCAAGGATGGGAAACAAAAGCCTGTTGTTTTTGAGACCCGCTTCCCAATAATTGAATTCCTAGTAACCGTTTATTTGCTTGCTCGAATTCTGCCGATTAAGTCTTCTTTCCGTCGCAAATCAGTAATAGTAAATTCTCATGCCTAACAGAGCCCCTACACGTATATACACTTAACGTAAACATACCGTAATTAAATGTGTTACTCTGAATTGAGTGAGTTTTCATGTATATACAAGTATATTCAGCATATCTGTTCAGCACAGTTCTAACCACTGATATCCTAAAAGCACATACTGTATCAGTAAAACTAGCAGAGGTCTGATTTTCTGTGTTCTTGTAGGTCAGGGGTGCCCATTACGTCGATCGCGATCGACCAGTAGATCAAGGACTGGTCCCAAGTCAATCCAAGGGGTGGAGAGAGGGAAAAAAACAAACATTTGTGTCTCTGTGCATGTTAGTAATATATTTTTTGTGTTAATGCACACTGCACCCTAATCATTCTATCAGTCTCACTTTCACAAAAAGCAATTAAAAAAGAAAAGAAAATAAAGCGGGTAATCTAACCTACGGTGACGTGTGACTGCATCACCGGAAGTTGTTAGCGCTCAGCAGTCTGCAGTTGCAGCTTGTGATCCGAGTTGTTGCGCTATATCTTTTATCGTTATCATTATTCTCATTCAGTTTGTTTTGTACAATTCACCAAAGGGACGGGCAAAGAATGGGAATCTGGGGGGCCGAGAGAAGCATTTTAAAACAGTACGCCTGAGCTATGATCGTTAACAGGCTGCAAAAGTGCGTTGCATGCCTCAGCGTCAGGC